TTATTCATAATAGCAAAAAATGAAATAATCAAATGTTTATCAATGGAGAAACAATTTGTGGAATATTCATACAATGGAATACGACTCAACTATAAAAAAAGAGACAGATTCACATAACAGCATAAATGCATCAAAACATGATGTTGAATGAAAGAAGCCAGATACAAAAGCAAACATGATTTCATTTATATGAAGTCCAAGAAGAGGCAAAACTCATCTATAAGAATAGATGTCAGAACAATGGTTGCCTCTAGTGAGCAGTGGGAGGGTTGGGATTGATTGGAAAGGGACACAGGAGCTCTGGGGTGAGAGCAATGTTCCACACGTTTGGTTACTTGGGTGTATGTGATTGTTGACACTCATTCCAACTAAACACTTATGGCTTGTGCATATTCTTACCTATGAATTATACCTCAGTAAAATATTTATTTGAGAAAATTTTCAGAGATTAGGGTCAGCTTGGAATTCTTGCTGTTTCACAGCCCTCATTATTTGCATTCATCAGTTGTCATCTTTCCCAATGCTAGATGACATAACATCTTAACTGTATATCAGGGATTCTTAACCTGTGGTCTGTTAATAATTTTCAATGGATCCATGAGCTCCGTGAAATTGAATGCACAATTTTGAATGTCTATGTGCATGTATTTTTCTTCTCCCTTGTGGACTGAGTTCATAGCTGTCATTGTATTCTCAAAACAGTCTGTGAACCAAAACATATTCAGAATAAAACCTCTGTGTTAGAAGTTTCATGCAGAATGTGTAGAAAATAATATTAGTAAAGATGAGTGAACTAATAATTGACACATTGTTTCCAGTCAGTGGTCAAGGAACCAAGCCCCTAATAGTTTGCAGATTAAAACTGGCAGGTGTCAGTGGCTCCGTGACACTAACAAAAATTTGAGTAATTTGGTCTGAGAAATAGAATAAAGCCCTGTTCAGAATAGGAGGCATAATCAGAGTGCTATGAAAAGACCTTTCCATCACACTTATAGAAATAGATGTCTGTTATTCAAAAGTATCCTGTATGCCATGTTGATTTTAAATATTGAAATTAGATAGATGAACATAATAGAGGCAACAGTTATGATTCAACTGTAAAAAAATTATTTGATACTTTTTCTCTTAACAGGAACAAAACAATTACCATAGTCAAAGCTAACAGAATTATATCAGGTTCAGCTTTGCCAGTGTTTAACAAAAGAAGGCAATTTTGATGTGGCTCAGTTATGGCAATTTTCATGCAATGAGTTTTGGGACTTGGTTATTTATTTTCAGTCTCTGATAGCAGGGAGACAGTGCAGCATTAAACTGGTGGCATAGGGTTGTAAATATTCTTTGAGATGTGAAGTTGCTCCAAGAAATCTGAGAACCTTGGCTTTCTTTGATGTGGTTATTGACAGGTTTCTGTGGTCTATTCTGTCCTATGTGTCTTGAGTGTGACATCGCCAGGCAGTATGGTGAGTGTCTTTGTTGGCCGTTGTTACCTGGGTCCACCTTTGCACTGAGAATTGGCACCAGGGAGAGACATAAAATACAGGTAAGTGTATTTGAAGGTGTATGTGAACCTGAATCTATATGAGAACTGGATGCCTTCCAAACCTGTAATTTTCCAAATAAAAGAAGGGAGGGTGAGAATATTGAAACATACCATGTTTAATGGGAAACTTTGAGAAAAGAAATACATTTAAAAATTTTATTCTTTACTAGGAAGTATAAGTTAACTAAAATACCATATTATTTTAGTGCAGATGGGATTTTGCCATGTTGGTCAGGCTGGTCTCAAAGTCCTGCCCTCAAGTGATCTGCCTGCCTCGGCCTCCCAAAGTGTTGGGATTACAGGTGTGAGCCACTGCACCCAGCCCAGCCTGATATATTTTTAAGTGAAAACAAAAAGTAAAGAACAGTAGTATGGAACTATTTAAAAAGACTATATATATATTTATATATATATATATTTATGTAGACATAGAATTTATCTGGAACTATTTAAAAAGACTATATATGTATATATTTATGTAGACATACAATTTATTTTACCAGGTACAAGAAACTGGTAACAATGGTTACTTCCAGGCAGACAACTGGATGGCTGGGACAGCTGGAGAGAGGGATTTACTTTTTACTTCCTATCCTTTCTTACACTGGATTTTTTTTTTTTTTTTTTGATTTTTTTAGTAGAGATGGGGTTTCTCCATGTTGGTCAGGCTGGTCTCAAACTCCTGACCTCAGGTGATCCACCTGCCTCAGTTTCCCAAATTGCTGGGATTACAGGCATGAGCCACCATGCCTGGCCTAATTTCTGTATTTTCAGTGGAGACAGGATTTCACCATGTTGGTCAGGCTGGTCTCAAACTCCTGACTTCGTGATCCACCCACCTCGGCCTCCCAAAGTGCTGGTATTATCGGTGTGAGCCACCGCACTGGCCTCTTACAGTGGAATTTTAGGCCATGTGCACTTACTACCTACTCCAAAGAAATAATTATAAATATTAGATCCTAAGAGAAAGAACCAAGAAATAGAGAAATCAGTGGTTTCAATGATAAAGGCCCATTATCAGAAGTCCTAAGGGCAGGGCTCCGAATTTACACAATTTAGCGTTCCTGGGCATTGGTTTACGGATGTTGGTGAATCTTGGAAGCTGTGGTTGAAGGGCTAGGAGATTATATTGCATAGGCCTCTGGAGAAGAAAAATGAGCCTGTGTGATTGCAGCAGAACAGAGACTTTGGTCTTTCCCTAGGGCACACTGTGTGAAGACTGGCTGGTGGTGCACTGCTGCTGGCCTTTCTCCATCTGCCAGGTGGCCCGGGAACTCAAGATGAGGACCTCCCATGTCTATGAAATCCGTGCAGTGCCAAAGGACACCCTGGTTTGGCAGAGCAAGATAACTCCTCCTCCTTACTCTCCAACACCCTCTTCTCTAGCCTCTCAGTAGAACAATTGCTTTTTTGTAAGTTTCTACTGAAATGATATGAAAATAAATGATTTCCCCCCTACTGTCTCTGCTGTTGCTCTTTCTTTACACATTCCCCTGTTGATGACTTTATTATTTGTCTGAATTTGCTATTCCAGTCCAGCCATATAAAGCAGATCTAGAGGTGAGGTTTTTTCTTTTTTCTTTTTTTGACAGTCTCCCTGTGTCATCCAGGCTGGAGTGCAGTGGCGTGATCTCACTGATCTCACTGCAACTTCCACCTCCCTGGTTTCAGCAATTCTCCTGCCTCAGCCTCCCAAGTAGCTGAGACTACAGGCGCATACCACAATGCCCAGATAATTTTTGTATTTTTAGTAGAGATGGGGTTTCGCCATGTTGGCCAGGCTGGTCTTGAACTCCTGACCTCAGGTGATTCACCCGCCTTGGTCTCCCAAAGTGCTGGGATTACAGGTGTGAGCCACTGTGCCTGCCCTTTCTCTCTCTCTCTTTTTTTTTTTTTGAGACAGAGTCTTGCTTTTGTTGTCCAGGCTGGAGTGCAGTGGCACCATTTTGGCTAACTGCAACTTCCACCTCCTTGGTTTCAGCAATTCTCCTGCCTCAGCCTCCCAAGTAGCTGAGACTACAGGCGCATACCACCATGCCCAGCTAATTTTTGTATTTTTAGTAGAGATGGGGTTTCACTGTGTTGGCGAGGATAGTTTCAAACTCCTGACCTCAGATGATCTGCCTGCCTCAGATGTTTTTGTTAGGGCAGCAGCACTGAAGAGTGCCGAAGAACCTGGGTTCTGTAGTCTGAAATGCCTCCTCTATTTACTAATTACACAACCATAGGCAAATTTGCTAACCTCTCTCTGTTTCAGTTTCAGTTACCTAGGATGGTAATAATGACCTCATAGGGCACGAGGCTTGTAAATCAAGACATTTAGCACATTGCCTCCCAGCTAGGACGGACTCAGTAAATATTTGTGATTACTGTTTTATGGCTACTTTATATTTGTAGCAAATTATACTAATTTTCCTGTTTGTTTTTTTTTTTTTTTTGAGACCAAGTCTCACTCTGCTGACCAGGCTGTAGTGCAGTGGCGTGATCTCATCTCACACAACATCTGCCTCCCGGGTTCAAGTGATTCTTGTGCCTTGGAGTAGCTGGGATTATAGGCATGTGCCACCATGCTTGGGTAAGTTTTGTGTTTTTAGTGGAGATGTGGTTTTGCCACTTTGCCTAGGCTGGTCTTGAACTCTTGGACTTAAGCAATCCACCTGTCTTGGCCTCCCAAAGCGCTGGGATTACAGATGTGAGCCACTGTGCCCGGCCAAATTATGCTAGTTTACCATTGGAACATACAGTTTTCTTTTAAATTAAATTGTAGATGAAAGTTGATACTAGAGATGAAGTTGCCTCCACCTCAAAAGTCAATTAAAATAAGAATTGTAAGTAAATAATATAACAGGTAGTAGATGGATATGGCAAACATCGTGAAGGTGTAAACTACTAATTTTATTGAGCACTTACATGTGCCAGGCACTGTTCCAAGCACTTTACATGTTTTAAGACATTTATCCTTAACATCCCTTGGAAAGGTGCTATTATATCTTCATTTTCTAGAAAAGGGATCTGAGTCACAGAGAAGTTAAGTAACTTGCCCAAGCCCAGAGAGCTGGCAACACAGCAACACAGGAAATCGGGCACTTGAGGCTGTGCACCTAACCTTTGCATTAATCAGGCAGAGAAGGAGTCCAGCCACGAGGCCTTCATAGGCCCACAGGGTTGTGCAAACCAGAGTTTGCTCCACAGAGGTGAATTCAGCCTGCTCGGCATTAAAAGAAATGTTACTTGCCCGCTCCTCCACCTGCCTCCACCGAAACTAAGCAATTCCCACCCGACAAAGTGATTTCCTCTCCTCCCAGCCCTCCCTTTCAGATGTCCAGAGCACCTGCCAAGAGCTAAACCCCTTTGGGAGAATCAAATGTTCACTGTTGACATTTAATCTATGACAAAGTGCTGCCCTCTCCAAAGCGGCTACTGAAAAAAACAAAAAAATCCAGGCCCAGGGAACACCCTATTAAGTGAAAATAGACATGTTTTATTGTCTCATGCTAGAGGATGTATTGGGCTTCATACACTTACATCTGGGAACAATACACATTTTTGGCAAAGGAGACTTGAGTACTCTCTGCAGGTTCACATGGTTGACCCTCCCTGCATGAAGAGCAGATGGTGTTTCATGCACAGATTTCCCGCACAGTTCTCCTCTCGTCTGATGTAAAAGATGCGAGTGGACCTCTCCAGCAAGGGAGCCCCCTTTCCCCTTTTGCTTCTTCTGATCAGTCTCGGTAGTAAAGAGCAAATTTAGCACTTCGTTAGGGCCACGAACCCAAGTGAAGCTCTGGACTCTGAAAGCACTGAGTCTACCACAGAATCACAGAACATAAAACAGAATTAACACATGGATCATGTGGATAGTTTTTTGAAAACTGATGGTAGAAAGTGGTCCTGAAGGGATGTGGCTTAGGGTCATGACTTCTGATACCTTCTAGAAGAACATGTGAAGTCCAGGAAAAAAGCACTTGAAAAAAAAATATGTGCTCCCAGGAGAAACATTATCCAGTACTGGGTATTGAAGTGAGAGACAATAACCCTGACATTAAACACCCATTAGCACAGTTTTACAAGAAATCTGGAGTGCTACAAATTTGAGAGTTACCCAACAGTGAAGACATATTCTGTATGTTTTTCTTCTTACTAGAAAATTCCTTTTGGTTTTCCAGGATACAAAGTGTGGAACGAATCTCTGATGACTCCATGTGGGTAAACAACACCCACACGCATGCAACAGACATTTCAGAGTAATCCATACAGATCATTATAAATTACAAAACCAGCAAACAAGCCCCCAAACCTCTTGGCTTTACAGCGGAATATACGAAGGAAATAAGCCGCCAGCCCTGATCTCTCTATTTTTTGGGATGAAGATATGAAAGGTTTGGAAGTCCTTAAGTGTCCACTGCCCTAAGCAATCATTTTTCTATATTTATATATTGTATATATGCAAGGTTTATTTATATAATATTCCATAATGACTAACATTATACCCCTTTTATAAACACTATTCACATATATATTAACTCATAAAGATTCTCTTTGGTCTACTAAAACACTGTACTTAGAAAAATAAGCAGAGACACGAGACAAGAGTCTACAGTTTTTCTGCTTTTATTTTCATGGAGGTGTGTATTTTTCTCTTTATCCATTTTCTTCTTAGTCTTTTTACTCTTAACACCCCTTCCGTCTGACCTAAAGTGTAGTAATAAGAAACAATAATTCTGGGAGATGGAACTCAGACATCATTAACAAACTCTTCTACTGCACATTTCTGATTGACTCATTGTGATCATTCAAGCCCATTCTTGCCTCCTCCCTGCCACCTCCAGTGCTTTTTGATCCTTGATCTTTTGGAATCTTTATGCTGACACCAAGAGTCCAGAGATGAAAACTTTAGAAAGTGGGGAGCTTGGCTGGGTGTGGTTTCTCACCCCTGTAATCCTAGCACTTTGAAAGGCTGAGGCGGGTGGATCACAAGGTCAGGAGTTCGAGATCACCCTGCCCAATATGGTGAAACCCTGTCTCTATTAAAACTACAAAAAAATTAACCAGGTGAGGTAGCGGACACCTGTAGTCCCAGCTACTCAGGAGGCTGAGGCAGGAGAATTGGTTTTGCCTGGGAAATGGAGGTGGCAGTGAGCCGAGATCGCTCCACTGCACTCCAGAGCGAGACTCTGTCCCAAGAAAAAAAAAAAAGGAAAGTGGGGAGCTTTTTCTAAGCTTCTGGAAACAAATCACATTCTTCATTTTGTGTTTTAGAAAATATTTAGTTTATTCAAAGGAAAAGCTAAATCCTTATGAAACCCCCACTAGGCATCATGGAAAGCTCCCAGAGACTTAGAAAACAGCAGGTGCAAAAATTAAGAGCGATGGTTTCCTGTTGCTCTATTGTAAGGCAGAAGCCAATGCATGAAGATGGAAATGTGACTAAGAGGGCTTTGAAAACAAGGTGTAAATAGCCAGTGTGCTCAATCACATCTCTTCCCTTCTCACCTACCACTTGGCAGATAAAGCCAGAACCCTGGGGCTTCTTATGGTGTACTATCACCTCTTCCTGTGGTTAACAGAGAGAAGGGTGTGGCTAAGAAGTCCAAATTATTCATCACATTCAAAGATGGCTGCCAGTTTCATCCCTGCACGTGACACCTTCACATAGAAGAAAGCATTTCCGTAGCCTTCAGATGCAATCCTTACTGTGCTCGTGGTTTGGCCAATGCTGGCTCCTGTTTACAAGCAGGGCTGGATGAAACACTGAGGATGTGTCCGTGTAAAATTAGGATCTGAACTTTGAAACAAGTGACATATCTCAGTGATGCTGCGTTTGTGTTATTGTCTTTGATAATCAGAGCAGCATACGCTTTTAAAAAATCCCATTCTTATTGATGTCTTAAGAGAGGAGGAGAAGATGAAATATATGGTTCAAATAACTCAGGGTCTTTATGAATTTCACTTATGTGAGCAATGTCTCTTGTAGGTTAGCACAGGTAATTTTAAAGTTGTATTTTAGATTGTAGTATTTTTTAAAAAAATGGGGAGAATGTCTTTTAATGGTTTGTTCTTGATGATGATTTATCTATGAACATAAAAGGATGCATAGTTATAAGTGATATTTATATCTTTCTACTTGAAATAGCCTCTTTGTAAGCATTGCAGTTTGATATCTTTCTTATAACATCATGGATTTTTTTCTTGTCTGAGACTCTTTAGGTACCAAGTCTTTATTTCCTTGATCACTATGTTTTATTAGAAATCCTTTGGGTCAGAAGGTATCATGCGAAAAGACAGACTGGAAAAGAAAAAAGATGTGGCAGAGGGATGCAGGATGCTTGATGGGGAATCAGGCTGGGGGTGATGGCTAGTGGGCATTGTGCTGAAGCATTGGCCTCTTCAGATTGAACATCAAAGAGAATATTAAGTCATCTGCTGCATCACTCTAAATCTGATCTGGAGAGACAGGCCAGACCACAAAACTGGAAGGCATTGGATGTCCTGTCTTGTCATTTGCTAGGTGCCAAGCTATGTGAAATTAGCAAGATAAAGTTTGGCTTTGGCAATAGCAGTGAGTAACAGAGGGATGAGAGTCTGGTGTAACCTGTAATAGCATATGACTCACTTGCTTTTCTCAACTCTGGCCCACCACCCATTAATTCTGCGGGTGAAGATGGATTTGCTTCCTCCTATTACTCTCCTGTCTTGGAGGCCAGACTATTGCTATCCCTGTACCATCCCTCATGGTCAAGGAATATCATGCAGTCCACAAACTTTCCATTGAGCAGTTTCCATCCCAGCAGATTGTTTGCTCTCTTCTGCATCCCAGTTGTCACAAACTCCTCCTGGGATGATGACCAAGGCAGACTCTGCAAAGTAAAAAGGATTTCAGAATCTGTTGTGTGCAAATACAGCTGGGAAGAACTATAGTTCTTCAGGATTCTTACACCTTTTGGGTAGAAATTTGTCTTCTCACAGAAGAGATGCTGTGTTCTCAGTGCATCATATCAGGAGGTACACAGTATCTGTTTCTCCATTGCTGGTGATGCTAACTTTGGTGTTTTGGTTAAGGTGATTGTCTACTGTAAAGTTGTGATTTTTTTTCCTTCTGTGACTAATAAGTATCTTGTGAGGAGACATTCTGAGACTTTTCAAGCTTTCATCTGCTAGTTTTAATATTCATTCATGGTTATTGCCTGAACAAATTATTACTGAGTGGTTGCCAAATGGGTTGTTTTTAAATTCCGTAATTTCTTTTACACTTAGAGGTTGGCACTTGACTTTAAGGGGGAGCTTTTCCTTCTCCTGCATTTGTTTATATATATCAGCATAGCCTCAGGGATTCCTATTTCATTTTACAGGTTATCGTCCATTACTGCCAAGCCCCTGACCCCTGCTCTAAACCCTGAATCTAATGATGAAGAAAGAAATAACAGACAAATACAGACTGAGAGACATTCCGTAAAATAAATGGCTTGTACTAGTCACAATTCTAAGGCCATAAAAGAAAACGCATCTCAAGGAACTGTTCCACGTTAACTGTTCCACATTAAACTAAAGAGATATGGCAACTACATGCAAGATGTGGTCCTGAAAGGGATCCTAGAAAAGACTTTTGAAATAATTTTTCTGTAAGGGAAAATAGGACAGTTAAAAAATAGTAGGCCAATTGAATATGACCTGTAGACCAGTTAATAGTACTATATCAACACTGATTTGCTGATTTTCCTGATTTTATTATGCTTATGTAAAAGTATATCCTTATTTTTGAAAAACACACACTGAAATGTTTAGGGATAAGTGGCATTTAGTCTCCAACTTACTCTCAAATGGTCCAAAAAATAAAAAATAAAAATGAACCTGGTAAAATCTTAACTTTTGGGGAACCTAGTGGAAGACCTTACAGGAACTCTTTGCACTGTTTTAGCAAACATTTATGGAAATCTGAAGTTATTTCATAAATACAAAGTTAAAACCTGTGAGCCCCCAGAATTTCTCAGAGGCCTTAAATATTGTATTTTGATGACCAAACTCAACCTGCATTCTTATCATCCTCACACATATAATCAATATCCTCCCCTCCCTGGCCAATCTCTTGCCTCCTTTCTCTTCCTAGGTTGAGGATGCTCCAGAGGAAAGTGCAACCAAACCTCTCTGGCAGCCCCTGTGAGGCGAGGGCAGGTGGTTTGATTGCACATAACAGGAGGTTGCTTTTTATGACTTTGTTGCACAGCTCTTGGCCCTTCTGAGTACTAATAAAGTCCAAACTGATCATCCTGCAGGAGGAAAGGAGAAAGCTAAAAGGATGATGAGAAGTTCGTTCAATAATTTTCTATCTCCTGTCCAATTTTCTTTCATCTATACCCGGATTTCTTCTCTGTCCAGGGATTCATGTAACGGGCTAGTTTTCGCTTTGGGGAAACTTTAATAATGATCACAGCCTCATTCTTTGTGGGGGTGGGGTGGAACAGTCAGATCTCACAAGCCGTTTGTGGAAGTCTTATCAATCTGGGGAGTCTTACCTAAACCCCCAACTTACAAAAGCAGAACTAAGATCTGTGGCTCCAGAGACTGAAGGTACCAGAGGAGGCTCAGCTCTCAAGCAGGCAACCACAGCTGGGCTCAAAATGGAGCTGCCCTGAGCTCCCAGGGCCTGCAAATGCAATGCAGCACTTCCTCATTAGCTAATGTGCTCCACTCAGCACAACAGCAAGTAAGAGCTGTCAGAGGCTCCAGGTGGCTGCTTTACATTCAGCAGGAGAAGCAGGCATTCCGTGATTATGAGGATACATTCTGTGTCTCACCATGTCAATAAATTACACAGGATTTGGTGTTATGCTGTCTTCACTACACACCACTAAATGTGGGTAAGGGTTTCATTTTGCTATTCACCAATTTTAAAAGGAAGGTGGCCTGCCTTAGACATACCCTGCCTCTCCTCCTTGTGCGTAGGTTGGTGCCAGTGCTGATGCTGGGCATCTGCATATGGAGACAGTTCGGCTTGTTAATATCACAATGGGCCCAGAGATGGCCGCTTTGATCTGTATTATTAGTCTTGGTGTGAGAATGTCTCTCCCAGATTACAGCATTTGCATCCCAAGCGAGTAGCAGTGATTTCTTTGCTCTTTTTAACTACATTTATTGTGATGTAACATTTCTGAGAACAAGTGCAGGGGCAGGGAAGTAATAAGGAAGTAACTGCCAAGGGAAAGCTGGCTGCCACATTAATCTGACCTTCCAGGTTGTGCTAAATGATGTAGAAAGAACTTCAACTCTAAGATCAACTGACATTTTAATAGGCACCCAGAAAAATCCCATCAATGGTAGGAGGTGTGACTTTTCCTATGGCTGGCACTCTGCAGTGAGAAGTAGCAGCCCTTATCAGCGCTGTGTCTGCAGGCCAGGGGTTTTGAGATTAGGCAGGTAATAATTCTTTGTTTACTGAGCACTCCAGAAGACAAGTCTATTTGAAGTAAAAACAAAAAGACATCACCAAAAACCCCTGATGTCTGGGAATTGCTTTTCCATCCAATCTTTTTTTTTTGTTGTTGTTGTTGTTTTTGAGATGAAGTTTTGCTCTTGTCCCCAAGGCTGGAGTATAGTGGCATGATCTCGGTTCACTGCAACCTCCAACTCCCGGGTTGAAGCAATTCTCCGGCTTAGCTTCCCAGGTAGCTGGGATTATAGGTGCATGCCACCATACTCACTATGTATTTTGTATTTTCAGTAGAGGAGGGGTTTTGCCATGTTGGCCAGGCTGGTATTGAACTCCTGACTTCAGGTAGTCTGCCTGCCTTGGCCTCCCAAAGTGCTAGGATTATAGGTGTGAGCCATTGTGTCCAGCCTTTCATTCAATCTTAAATGAGGTGGAAAGCAGTTAGCAGCCACAGACTGAAGTCAGATTGCCTGGGTTTATTTCCAAACTCCACAATTCCTAGCTTTGTGACCTCATGGAAGTTTTTTAATCTCTCTAGGCCTTTAACATGGGGGTAGTAATAGTATTTATTGTGGCTGTGGGAGTTTCAAATAAGTCAATGTTTGATATAAGTAAAGCACATAGTACAGTGACACATAGCAGGGGCTCTATAATTGTTGGCTCAAAATTATTATTATTGATTCAAAGACCTCCTGAAGGCTATTTCTTGTGATTCTGCTTCTTAATTATCTCAAAGAATAGAAAATCCTGCAGGTAGAAACAGGTTATTAAACAGTGGCTGTCACATTTGTTACTAGAGTTTCTTCTGCCCTAAAAACCTGTCTCAGTTTCCTAAGTTGAGTTCTTTAAACTTTACATTCTTATCTACAAGAGGATAATAATGGATACGAATGAAGGTAACAGTACCTTAGTGTTTATTTTGTGTGATGTTGTGAGATGTCTTCTATTATTATTCCCTCTACGGAGATGAGAAAACTGAGACTCAGAGAGGTGCAGTGACTTGCCCAAAGTCACATAGCAAGACACACTTTAGCACAATTTAGGTGTTCCAGTTCTAAAGCCTGGGCTCTGAAATCCTGTGCCAGAGAAAGCTTGGGGGATTGAGAGGGAGAGAGAAACAGAGAGAGAGAGAAAGGGAAGAGGGCTGAAGGGAGGAAGAGAAGAGACACAACTAGTAATAAGTACTTTCTGAATAAGTGGGTGCAGAAATTCAGTAAGTATACCCTAATGATAACAAAGGAAGTGATATTTCATGTCTTGTGTATACAATTCCAAACACCCATTTTGGCTTTTTTTTTTTTTTTTTAAAGATGACCGTTTTTGTTTTGTTTGTTGTGTAGTCACTGCTTTAAATAACTGCAAGGGCCAGTTCCTCTGAAAGGTGAATTCTTAAAATCTCACAGCGCTGGAAAGCAAGTGCCTAAGCCAAGTCCCTTGTTTTAGAGACGGGCAATAGGGCAGAGAAAAGGGAGGTAATTTGCCTCTCTGCCTGCAATAACTCCAGCGACATCTTCTCCACGTTCATCCTTCCTATGATGGGCCTTCTTGTCAGGAAAAAAAGGTGATTCATTTATTCTCCAATTGTTCATTCAACAAATACCTTCCTTTGTTCCTTTTATAACATCTGAAATGTAAAAATTCTCCTGCTTGTCTACCATTTACTCCCCCGCTTCCTGCAGATAGGAACCTCATCTGTGTTGTTCGCTGCTATATCCCAACTGTACGGAACAACACCGGCCACGTAGCATGTAGTAGATGCTCAGTTGATATCCATTGAATAAAAAATGAATAAATGAATGAAGTGATATTGATTTTTGCCCAGGAAGAAAACATTCTGTGACTTTAAATGGAGATGGAGTGAGAGTAGCACTTGGCTGGAGCCCATAGGTCATAATGGATGCCCAGTGGGGGGTTTAATCAGTACATGCATTTTCTGAATTACAAATTGTGCCAGGGACATTTAATTTCTGTTAATTGGCACCAAGGAGGAGGGGTTGTTATTGAAATCACCAGCCAGCTGGAAGCATGTCCGTGTCAGACCTGTCTGCAAATCAGAATGGACATTTCATAAACCGTGTCACCCTTGGGAAGCTGCAAGTGCCCAGAGGGGCAACACCGATGTGCTTGCTGGCTACATTCTGCGTTACACACAGCCCTGAATCTGAAACCTTCAGCAGATGAGGTGGTGAGGTGGTGGGGACAACCAGAAGAGAAAAGACTGATGAGAATCATGGCATAAAATGCATTTTAAAATGATTGTCATATTTCCCCAACCCTGGCACCACTGACCAGCTTATCTGAAAGGTCAGACAACAAAGCTGAGATTTCTTATCCTTCGGAGCTAGCCCCAACGTCTGCTAATGGTTGCCTTGGACAAGTGATTTATCCTCTGAGTTTCAGTTGTTTGATCTATACGTAGGGAACAACAACACA